AATAACCAGGCATCACCGCATAAGCCGAGCAACCCAAATGTTGCTGTACGGAAAATAACTGGTGATTTGGTCGCACAGTCTACCCCCAAGACTGTTCGTCCGGTCAACAAAGAGCCCAAGACTCAAAAACGCGCACTGACTTCCAAACAACAAGTTATTAAACCTGAACCCATAGTGAAACCTGGTAAATTAACAACAGCTCGTGACGATTCTCTCATTATCATGAACCTTGTTGACAATCCTGACCTTCCTCTCAGTCTGCAGGACAAAAAGGACAGGATGCTCTGGGGTGAATTGAACAAGAAGCTCGAACTTCCTAGAATAGAGCCTTTGACGGTCACCCGGCTCACTCGAGGAAAGGATTCTAAGCATCTAAATCACCCGAGGCTTCTTCGAGTAACACTTAAGAATGCTACCGACGTAGAGGACGTCTTGCTAGCAAGTCACTTGCTGAAATCCGATGGTAACGTAAGAATATTGCTCGACATACCGTCCTCTGAGCGCAATATCATACGGAACATCCCTAAAGAATCTCGCGAGAAGTTTTTCCGCGGAAGAAACATAGTTGTGCAAGGTATACCGGAAAATGCAGACCCTACTCAATCAGATTCTGACATCAGGGAATGGAAATTCACCAAACAGTCCTTGAGGCTCAAACAAATACTGACTCAGCATGTGCCGAGACTAGACAAGAGGGACAGTGATCTTAGACCCCGTCTAATGAAGATAACCTTCCCATCTTCCTACATGGCGGCTGCAGTTCTGGAAGCACTTCGTGCCAACAGACGTCGATAGCCACCTGGAATCTGTAGTGGCATTGGACAATAGCCACACAATCCACAAAGCTGTGAACACGAGACTACTCAGAAAATAGATATTCAATATTTAACGCGGAGAAATACCTAACAATGGAGAAGGCGCGAACAATGAATTGAATGGACTGGAGTTAATCGGATGGCATGGCTCGACCATGCAGGCGTGGTCTCTGCTGAATGTTACCTTATATCTTCTATTCATATTAAATATATTGTTCTTTCTCTAGCCTAACCTTGTTCTACATCATGTATTGGTAATTGATACGATACAGTGAGTTGGCGTAGTCGTTGGTGTGACTTCCACGTAAGATCTTATAGATTAGGCAGTTATATCATGACAAATCCACAATTTTAGGATTAGGTCTATTATTAGAGCAGTACTAATATCATAGTAGACCATAGTTCTACAAATCCACATGCACCCGGATAGGCCATATGAAGCTAGGACTAAGCACAACGGCAAGTTGGAGCTGATTATTCCACTTGTGGACTGTCTAAATGATAAAAAACGTGTAAAGGACAGGGCCTACCACCTCAGCAAACCTCATATAGGTGGGCTTCCTGTCCATTCACATAAGCCTCATACAGAAAAACAGGACGAAGCTCACGCGTTCCAAATTGAAAGCATAAACTGCTTATATATGAACGCCGCGAGTCTACCAAACAAACTGGATGAATTACGTGAACTTAGCAACGCCCATCTGATAGGAATATCTGAAACCTGGATATCTTCTCAGTTCTCGGACCAAGAGTTAGCATTACCTGGGATGACTTGTTCCGCAACGACAGAAAAACAGGAATTGGGGGCGGAGCAGCCATATACATAAGTCTTGCTTGGAGGTGCACCAAGTTCACAACCTCGAGTTTATCAATCTTGAGGAATCCATATGGTGCTCTGTAAGATTGTCTAGAACTTCGAGGTGTCTGGTCGGAGTCATTTACAGGAAGCCAACTGCCGACATAGAGTACGATAGTCGTATGCTGGAAGGACTATCCCGCTCTACCCGTCTCGGTTTCATACGCATCCTGATTCTAGGGGACTTCAATCTCCCTAGAGTCAACTTCGCGGAACACACGTACACTGGAGGCGACAACTCAATTGAAGCTCGGTTCTTCAACCTCATCGATGACATGGGCTTATATGAAAATGTGAGGTCGGCAACTCGTTAGAGAAACAGTCAGACACCATCGCGCTTAGACTGTGTATTCACAAACGAAGAATTCCTAGTTGACAACAATAACTTGTGTTACACTTAAATTAAATTCTCAGACCCGTTTTATCTTCACTATGCATATATGACTCATACATATTGATATTTTATTATCCTTTTCACTTAATTGAGACTTTCATAGCATCACTCCAAACTATGTGACTGCACAAACATTTATATTCTAGCGTCGTATCTTACTGCAATTATAAGTTATTTTTTTCTCAATTATTTTTTCTTACTAATTTGACGATACACACATAGTCGTTTGTTCTTGTTTTATGTTCATAAACACGCCTATTAAACTGTTTGTGTACTTCACGTCTCCTTTATTTCTATTCCCTTATTTTCTGCATTTCCTTCTTTAGACTCAATTCAATATTCTTCTCAATTGCACAAACCCGATTTATTATTATTAATATTCTACTATTATTGCTCAAAAATTTATTTTTTTTAAATGGCCAGTAGAATGCTGACATTATTGAAAATTGTGTATTATTGCATTTTTTTGAAGAAACCATTTCGGGTTTCTTCACAACACTTATGTACCCATAAGATTTTTGTGAATAATAATAATAATAATAATAACCTCTCAATCCTGGCTCCTCTGGGAAAGAGCGATCATGCCGTCATAGCCTTCAGTTTTGTCATCAAAACTAAGCTAAGGTATCCCAACAATAATTTGCGTTGGAATTTTAAACGGCTGAATGTGCCAGCTCTACATGACTATCTACAACAGGTGGTTTGGGATGTTCACCCTCAACTCGATGTGGATGGTCATTGGGACTTCTTACTGCACACGCTCTTATGTGCTACAAACCATTCAGTTCCTCAAACGGTTCCCAAAAGCTGCAAGCCACCTACAGTAATCAAGAACCGTACCCTTCGCCTGCTAAGCCGCAAAAGGCACTGTTGGGCGGAATACAAACGAACTAATAACGATGGAGCGTATAGGCAATATAAACATATCAGGAACATATGCACGAAGGCTATAAGAGAAGACAGGCTTCAGTACCAAACAAAGCTTATGGACAAATTCGCCTCTAACCCTAGAAGCCTATTCCGTTATGCAGCCTCTCTTCGTCAAGCCAAAACAGGAGTTTCTCAACTGGTAGGTCTTAACGGCCCGACCAACAACGATGGCGACGCCGCTAACCTTCTGGCGGCACATTACTCTCAAACATTTCAACCGGCTGACATCAACTTTACTGACGACAGTTTCATCTGCAATTCCACAGGACTTTCTGAAGTGGACCTAAGCGCTGACTTGGTGTTCCGGAAATTGCAGCACTTAAGACTAGACACTTCTCCTGGCCCGGATATGGTTCATCCTGCCATACTGAGGGAGGCAGCCTCAATCCTGGCAACGCCGCTTAGCGTGATGTTTTCACACTCGCTTAGCCGAGGCAAATTACCGGAAAATTGGAAGTTGGCTCACATCACACCAATTTTCAAAGGTGGTCGACGCAATGAACCTTCAAGTTATCGGCCGGTGGCTCTTCTGTCATTACCTTCAAAACTCATGGAGTCCCTGATATGCGACGGTTTAAATGACTATCTACTGTCCTTAAATTTCTTCTCACCCCAACAGCATGGTTTCAGGAAGGGTTACTCTTGTATAACCAACCTGCTGACTGCGGTGGACAGATGGACAAGCATCCTCGATCGCAAGGGAAAGGTTGATGTCATTTACCTTGATTTCTCAAAAGCTTTTGATAAGGTTAACCACTTGTGTCTTATCAACAAGCTCAAACGACTAGGTATCAAACCACCTCTAATCGATTGGCTTACTTCATACCTAAAAAATCGACACTTTAAGGTTAGGGTTAATTTCACTTTATCTCAGGCTATGGAATGTCCTAGTGGGGTCCCCCAGGGCTCAGTACTAGGGCCTCTTCTCTTCTTGATCTACATAAATGATCTTCCTCAACAGGTAACGTCAGACTTATTACTTTTTGCCGACGACGTGAAACTTTGGAGAGAGATACGCAACCAAGACGATATACAGGCACTTCAGGAGGATCTGACTCGACTTCAAAGTTGGGCAGACGATAACGGACTTACCTTTAACACTTCAAAGTGTAAAGTAGTCCATCTGCGACATGTAGCAAACTACAGTTACAACTTAGGAAACTCCTCTCTAGTAGTATCCCAAGTCGAAAAAGATTTAGGAGTCCTGGTGCCCCATGATTTAAAGTCTTACGCTAACTGTGACAAAAATGCCTTCCGAGCAAACCTTGCACTGGTAACGTTGAAGCGCATTTTTGGACAGTTTGACGGACGAACTTTCCACACAATCTTCAATAGTTTCATCCGTCCCCATTTAGAGTACGGAAACATAGTACTCCCTCCCTCACTCCAAAAGGACAAGGTCACTTTGGAGCGTATCCAACGGCGAGCCACGAAATCAGTTCGAGGACTCAAATCTAAGCCTTACGAAGAACGCCTCCGTTCACTAGACCTTTACCCATTAGAATATAGGCGTCTTAGAGGTGATTTATTAATGGCTTATAGTATTCTTAACACTTCTGGACATCCTCTTAAACACCTACTTAAGCTTAGTTCGAATAATAACCTAAGGGGTAACACCCAGAAACTGGAAACACAACATAGCAAGACGGAATGTAGACACAACTTCTACTCCTTAAGAGTTGTCAAAAGCTGGAATTCGCTGCCAGCCGAGCTAGTCCAAGCGACTTCTCAGGAGTCCTTCAAGAGGCAACTTGACCTATTCTTAAGGACCAAGGACAGCATCACACTATGATTTACCAATTTCTTTTCCTCTTTTATTGTTAACATACCTAGGTTCCTGCCTGGAGGATTTGGTGATCCCCTGCTACTAGACACGGAAGCCTGTTAAGCGAAAGCTTCTTCTATTCCGTCCACAACCATTTGGAACATTTGAATTCGTACAACTGAAAATACTGAATATCATATTCTGCTACATTCAAATATAGCGGAACTTTACCGAGTCATTATGTTTGTATGTCAATTTCGGAGATAATTATATTACTTGTAGCTTAATATGTCATGTATCTTTTCACCAATTACTGTATAGGGGGTTCTGAGTTTTCTCGGCCTATATTGCGCCACAGGTATACTCAGCTGTCAAGTTCATGGTACCAACCAGTGGCGAATTTGATCCAACTAGCAGAACAGCATGAATCCATTTTGTCTCGTTGGTTCTCGTCAGCTGCTTTCAACATGTGATATTCAAAATCATGACTACATAATGGGTTTGAATTACTTACATGGAAGGGTGTGGTTGGAAGTTATAGTGAAGACACACTAGTATAGTATATCAAGGGTGTAAATAAATTGGATAGGCTGAATATTGTAAATATATAACTTATGTAAGCGAACATTCTGCAACATTTATTGTGATAACAGTTCAAACGACCAGAAACGAGTGACTACATAATGAGTAAACGTTGATAGGAATAGAACGAATAGGGCTCAGTTGATTACTAATTTGGAAGATAGCTGAGATAAAACTCAATGATTTAATAAATTCAGGGGAAAAATTTAAGATTCAGTGAGGAAATATTTGTCACCAAGGTAAGGAAAGATTAATGACTTTCTGCCTTTGAACACATAAGTCAGGTTTTCGACGCCTGATGACAACGACTTCAGCAAACCAGAAGACTGGAGTTTGGCTGATTACTAATCTTCTTGTAGGATTGAAACGTATCGACCTGATGTCCTGTATCAAGATGTTTGGTAATTACACTGGTTTTTTCTCTTGTTCTGAGGCTTTTTGAAACATGTTCAAAAAATCTAAGATATGCCCTCCTTTCTGTTCGGCCAATGTAACTGCTTTTGCAGGGACACGTAAATTTGTAAATACAGTTGGCGGTAACATGAAAGAGGTGCTTGTCAGCCTTTGATTGAGTTATTGAACATGTTGTTTTATAAAGAATTAAAAGTTTGGCTTCTGGATAAGTTCTGGCTAGTTCAGTGTTCAGTCTCCTGCTGATTGTGTTTGCAACATCATCACCTTTGAAGTTAAGATTTATAGATATTGGTTTTTTATTGACCTTAATTACTTCCGTCTTGTTTTCTTAAGGCTTTTTACATCAATAAATTTTTGTGGGTAACAGTTGTCCCTTAGGCATTTTTCTACGTTCATCAATTCTTCCAGTTTGTCGGTAGTACATATTCTTTCTACCACATAAAATAGTGTTTTAAGCAATTCCTTCTTGTAACTGATTGGAAAAAGACGACTGAAACTCAGGCAACGGCACGTTCCACTTTCTCGACGTTGCCATAAAACGTAGAGGAGACGGGACAGTTCAACTTTCGGTTTGTCGAAAAAGCACTCGGAATGGCTATTCTGCTAGAGTATTTGTTCTTGCTCTTTCCAAAATAATAAAGGAAAACATGCGTATGAAACAATACATTTGGTTACGAATTGCATTCAGCCTCAAATTTTTGTCTTAGACTTAAGATCATTAGTTTATTTTGTATGAGAGCTGCCTAACATCGGTTTTACAACCAAAGAGACATCATACGATCTCTTCAAGATGCAGTTCGAAACCGGACACAATACTGTATTTAAATACGACCTACAATGATGCGCCCTTTTCGAGCAGTCAATGTGTCTCATTGATATGACAAGTAATTGACCACACAGCGGTTTTACTACCAAGCTAATGATTATATGTTATGTCGATCTGTAGATTGTCTACACTAATTGTATGGGCTACTGACAGTGAAAATCTCCCCAACCCAAAGTTGATGGAGAGTGGTTCAGGTTATTGATCAAGGGCCGGTTTTAGCCACCACGATTATTCCGCAGTGTATTTAAAAAGATACTTTTCGTAAAAGCAGCAAGATACACAATGAGGTCTAGTAAACTATTTCAGTTTTACCTTAAGTATAACTACCATTGCCATTTATGCAGACAAGACGTTTCAGGCGTTGAAATGGTTGTCGTAGCTTCAGTGGTTGCACATTTGTGTTAGATATCAAGTTTTTGATAAACGGTAGAGATGTTTGCGTGGTAACTCAAGGACATGTGCAGGCTTTTTATTATAAATGTCTTTGGAGAATTGCTCACGTTTCAAGTTACAATCAAGTAGGCAATGTTAAGGCTAGGCATAAGAAACTAGACAAAGGTAATAGGTCGGTTTATGAAGTAGTCTTCATCATCTAAGGTGGTTAGAGCACATTTTAGGTATACTTAACCTACCTCGAGGCACGATGTTTGATAATGTAAGACTAGGCTGATAGAAAGCTAGGAGCTCCTAAACCAAGATATGACATTAATTCATGAAAAAATTATCCACTGAGCTGAGGCGTGTTGGTGAGTAAAGACTACCAGGTTGAAGTTCTCGTAATGATCGCAGCCAATAGTCAGTGACGATAGCTAATATTGCTCATAATCGTTCACAGCAATGCAGATACACTCACTTTTTATACTCCACTCGGCCTTGAGTCTCAGTACTCTTTCTGATCCCCGTTTAGGTTCAATATAATGAAATAGGTAATGATGTAGACGAAATTCTGACCCCACTTCTCTTATGTTCTGTCGACAAACCTCGTTAATAACAGTGGGGTTATAACAAGTCGAAGACGAGTATTTTGGTTGTTTATATTTCATACATTCGCTTTGGGAGACAAACGAATTAATAAAAAGCGGAGATAGCAGATGTGCCTACTCAAAACATTACTGATTACAAGCGTTAACATATCTCAAAATGGATTGTGAAAAGGAGACAGACACTTGGTACAATAATCGTTATACAGACACACACAAGCATACATGAGATGTGTAAGTGTAGAATTACCAGGAAATAAATATCAAGTGTGTACTGAAGGCCACACGCCTGAGAACAGTTACTATGAAATTAAAATTGACTTAATAGTTAAATACTGTTTGAATCGTGAAATTCTGTTCAAAAGCTCGAATAAATCACTCGTAATCAGTCAGTCAGTCAGTAACAACGTAGAACTTCGTACGTACGTACATCAGTTCGAGTTGCCACACCACATTAGCACACAGATGTAGTGGCCGATTCAAATCCCGTATTGGTAGAGGTAATAAGAGTATAAGCAGTAATCGGGAAAATTAGTGTTTGGAGATGTTATTTAAAGAGTATAATACAGTGAAATAAATTTGGGAAGAGAAAAAAAAGAAACAAGGAGGAATATGGAGATCAAAATTTGGGAGAACAAAGAGTGGATGCACCTGCGCCATTGCAAACGATTTTTGAGCCATGTCATTCAGGGTCTCAAACCAGCGGTTGCTATCATCTCACGGTACCCAACCAGGTAGTCTACACCTACCAACATGACTCAGTCCACTTGTCAGTGACTTCATGGACTTGTGCCATGTTTTGGTTTGGCCGCCCCTAGCTTTCTTCCAACCTACTCCTATACCACTGAGCATCGCACGTCGAGGCAGTCGGTCGTTGGGCATACGTAACACGTGTCCCAGCCATCTCAACTGATGAAGTTTCACTACGTCATCAATTGATTTGCCATCCTTAACTAGTACCCGTTTCCTAACAACTGCGTTACTTACTCGATGGTCCCATGATATACGAGCAATATTCGAAGACACCTATGGTCAAGTACTAGTAACCTACGAATATCCTCTACTCTTACCGGCCATGTTTCACTGCCATAAAGTAGGACGGAACGAACTGCTGCGCAGTAAACCCGTCTTTTGGTTGATAGACGGATATCTCGCCTACGCCATAAATGACGCAAGTTGGCAAAAGCTAGTCGAGCCTTCTGTATCCGTGCTGAGATTTCGTCACACACCAGACCACAAGGGCTGACGAGAATTCCAAGATAAGTGAAGCGATCGACACGCTCAATTACTTCACTCCCTATCATTAGTTCGGGTGTCAATGCAACCCAATCTTGAAGCAACATTTTGCATTTCGAGGAGGAGAATCGCATGCTGAACATGCTTGCATTGTTGCTTAGAGTGGTCAAATCAGATCTAGGTTAAGAAAAAGTCTAAGAAACGACCGTGAGCAGTGGTGGGCAACGAAAGCAAAAGAGATGGAAAAGGCGGCGACTATAGGGAACACAAGACAGCTTTACAGACTAATAAAAGAAACTGGAATTAATAAGTCAAGTGTAAGTGAGATTATTTCGGAAAAAGACGATACCCTCATCTGCTCCCAGTCCAGACGTTTAGAACGATGGGCGGAACATTTCAGAGAACAGTTCAGCTGGCCTTCAGCTACTCTACAACTACCCTCCATTCCCAGACAGCGTGAATGGAACATTGAAGTAGGTCCCCCAACTCTTGCTGAAGTTCAAAAGGCTATAGTTAATCTGAAACGAGGAAGGGCAGCTGGTCCAGATGGACTGGCTCCAGAGGTCTTTAAGGATGGTGGTCCAATTTTAGCGATTAGGTTGACTAATATTTTAGCTAAGATCTGGGAGTTAGACGTTATCCCATCTAACTGGTCACAATCACTTATCGTCCCAATATATAAGAAAGGGTCAAAATCATCCTGTGACAACCACAGAGGGATTAGTTTAACTAATATAATATCTAAAATACTAGCCTCGATAATTATCAGACGCCTAACTAAGACTCGTGAACTGCAAACACGAGAGAATCAAGCTGGCTTAAGACCTGGTCGTGGCTGCATCGACCACATATTCACCATTCGTCAGATTCTAGAACACAGGCATACTTATCGGCGTCCGACAATGGTGGTCTTTCTCGACTTAAAAGCAGCATTTGACTCGGTAGACCGCGAGATTCTGTGGCAGTGTCTGTCATTGAAAGGCGTACCCAGAAGTACATAAACCTTGTGAAGGCTCTTTACTCGAACACTACTAGTCGAGTCAGAGCTTATGGCGAACTGTCATCTACTTTTGCAACCTCAAGTGGTGTCCGTCAAGGCTGTCCACTTTCCCCATTTTTGTTTAACTTCATCATAGATCTACTGATGGAAATAACTTTCTCGTCGACTGAGTTCTCGGGTATTGATCTCCATCCAGGAGGTCCACTTATCGACTTAGAATACGCAGATGACATAGTCCTGTTTGGTGAAGACGCTGACAAAATGCAGAGTCTTCTGGTAGCACTGAGCAACAATGCCAGAATGTTTGGAATGCGCTTCTCTCCCTCTAAATGCAAGTTGTTGCTTCAGGACTGGTCTGCGTCAACACCTGAACTAAGGATAGGGAGTGAAGTAGTCGAACGCGTTGACAACTTCACTTATCTTGGAAGTCTGATCAGCCCTAATGGGTTGGTGTCTGACGAAATCTCAGCACGGATTCGAAAAGCTCGTTTGGCTTTTGCCAACTTACGTCACCTATGGCGAAGGCGAGATATCCGTCTATCAATAAAAGGACGAGTATACTGCGCGGCAGTCCGTTCTGTTTTAATTTACGGCAGCGAAACATGGCCTTTAAGAGTAGAAGACACTCGTAAGCTATTAGTATTTGACCACAGATGCCTTAGAAATATTGCTGGCGTCTGCTGGGATCACCGGGTAAGTAATAGTGAGGTTAGACGCAGGGTATTAGGGAATGATGGTAAATCAGTTGATGAGGTTATGAATCTTCATCGACTGAGATGGTTGGGCCACGTGTTACGTATGCCTGAACACCGATTACCACGACGTGCAATGCTATCCGGTATTGGAGATGGTTGGAAGAAAGTTAGGGGCGGCCAAACCAAAACGTGGCATCAGTGCTTGAAGTCACTAACTTGTAGTCTGAGCCATGTTGGTAGATGCAGACTACTTGGTTGGGGTCCGCGTGACTATCGTAACCAATGGTTGGAGACTCTTGGTGACATGGCTCAGAATCGATCACAATGGCGTCGGTGTATACACTCTATGTCTTCCCTTAAACTAAGAGATTAAAATCGCCTCATATCTTTCTTTCTACGAACTAATTCTTTCTTCCTGTACTATATCCTCATTGCAATCTTTCTTTTATATATTACCACCTTTGACCTAACCACTGCTATGAATCCGGTGTTCATCTTGTTGTGCTGATGCGGTATGGCAACCTGGACCGATGTACATATGTGCCTGTTCCTACGTTGTAGCTGACTGACTGACTGAGAGTGGTCAGAAGACTGCATTTTGTCAGCGTCTTCACCAAATAAAACGATGTCATCAGCATATTCTAAGTCAACAAGTAAACCTCCCGGTAGAAGTTCAACCCCTGAAAATCTAGACGAGGAAAGTGTAATAACCGAAAAGCTGATGCACTCCTTCATACATACCTTTCCACTCTATATTTTAGAAAGTTATCTCAATGTCCAGTCCTCATTATCATTGCTATAACAGTACTTCGGTCTCTCTCACTATTTATTTTGCCAGTTTCATTTCGTTGTAATGATATGATATGTCGACTAGGATCAACGTACATCATTGACAGGCTTTACGTTCGTGATAACTGGATAAGTAAGACTAGTGGTACAGTAAGGCGAAGTAAGTAATTAACGGATCACGAACCTGAAACTCGTCTCATTCTGTAACTGATTTAGAATTCTTTCCCATCATCACCTTTTCAAAATATGTTTCTGTAGAAATCACGTAGTTGGGACTTTTTACAAAGCTGTTATCACTGCTTCATTTATACTGATACTGATATTAACGTTGGTTTTGTAAAGCGATACGTGGTTTAACTTGTAACTGCTAAAAAGATCTAACCACATTGAAACACCTAAGTGACATAGGTTACTTAAGTAATTAATAGCCTACGAACTGCATGTATCTAGTTCATTTCATTTTATGGGCTTCTACAAGCTTTTAAAGAACACTTTTTGGTGTCTTATATTCATTAGTCGATGACCTAATGTTTCAGTTACTCGACTTTCAACCAATAGATGGAATATTAGAAACCCACTTCACGTCGGTTTGGACAACAGACAATTTCGTTAGCTTCCTTACAAACATGGTTTGATAATATAAATGATATTATCTCATTATTTTTTATTTTATAATTAACTTCACTTGATGGGACCCGGCACATTGTTTCCCTAATATGCTCATTTCTCTACTAATTGGCTCCTAAATATATGAATTTTCCGTTCTACCACCTGTGTTACTAAAAACATTTTTACTATTTACTTGTGAAACTGAATCATTCGTGACTAGTGTGTCGTTACTTTACTTACTGTCAAAGGTTCATCATTCAGAGTTTGTGCCTGCACCAAATACCGTTGGAAATATGGCACTGCTACCCTTACGCACAAAATTTCGAGGACCTGCGCCTATGAATATGGATTTGGAAAAAGATATTATTGACGAAGCTCTGTATCTTTTTAAATCACTCATATTTCTTCGACAGTACGAACTAAAAGTAAGATTACATTCTATTCACTTAACCCAAATAAATTTCATGGTTTTGTCATAGCATGTGCCCTTTCAATTGTCATAAGGTTTCATGGAAAAATTAGATTTACATTTTGTATTACAAGAAGTTACACCTGACCAATGAAGTATATTCTTAATACAAAAAACTCAGTTACTTACAGTTAATGAAATGGTTGGTTATAGTTATTTATTATTCCTACTCCCGTTTTTGCTTGGGTTATTTTGTTTTTTTTTTAGGAAGTTTATTAGCTTACTAAAATTGGTTGAAATTAAGATTTTATTCACTTCCTAGCCTACCAAATAATTTCAATAACTTAATAAATATTTCATTAATTAGAGTTTCTCTGCACGAGCAGATAGATAACTACATCTGGAGTTATCATGGAAGGAGGTTAAATTACACCACAGAATGGAACTGTGACATGAATAGTCAAGCATCCTATTTTCAACCAGTAGGTCTTAGGTTCAAGTGCTGCTTCACCTACTTCGGTTTCGGCAGCCCGATAGTATCTGTCACTAGTCTCATACATCTAAAGCTTGGCTAAAAGACGAGGGCATGAACTTGTATTTAGTAAATGAGTTGCAATATTCACTTATTAACAAAATCGAAGACTCGACTGACACTTACCAACTGATACAATTTTTTTAATTCTTCCGCATGCTGTGATATCATATGGCTGATCTGTTTGATGCCGTAATTGTGAAAGATTGTAGTAAAAGAAAGCTGATAATCATGTGTTGAATATTTATTGGTGAAAATATGTCATACTAATCAGTTAAATTGGTAAGTTTAAGGACTATATCATGACTTATAGATTTTTAGCATAACTTCACGAGTTATTTGACCATAGTTGCCAAGCGACTGACCTATAAGTAGATTTAAGTGTACTACATTTTGGGCACACTCGTCACTTTTAAACATGCAAACATCACACTACTTAGCAAAGATATATATAATCATGATGCGAATTATGTGGCGGTCCCTTTTTTGTTGAGTTCAACACTATTTACCATTATTCAATATGACAGAGTGACTAGAATATTTAAATATCATTCTTCTTAACTAGCGTATGTGTATATATGACTAGAAGAGAGTGGATTGTCATTACTTATCTTTTATTACAGTTATGAGCTCCATACTGACCTTGAACATTTGTCTTGTTTGTAATTAAGTAAATCACTAACACTTATTTAGTTTCTTTATATAGTCAATTCGGTAACAAAGAATGGTTAAATCTGTAAGTACTTCTAAGTTTATGTAACAGTAGGTCAAATAGCTGCCAATGAGTAACAATCCTAGATTTCTAGTGGGTTGATATTATTTCATTAAAGTCACCGTTTTAATCACAGATGAATCATTTTTCATCCTTTTCAGAATTATAGTCAATTTCCGTTCGGTGTTGTGGGTGGCATCTTTTTTTTGCTGGTCCTTTGAAAACTTTTATGCATTATTTAGTATGAAGGATAATTTGTCAATACAGTCTTCTCAGTTAGCAAGAATGATCCTAGCAATCTTTATAAAATTTGTTCTCTATAAGGTCATTTGATGGAGATTTATGTTCCTATTTTGTTAAAGTTTTCGAACTAATGTATTCATGGTAGCAGTCAGAGACTGGTGTTTTGAGTTACTCGAAATCATTGTCAAACTGGGAGTAAGTCAGATATTTGTTTGGTTGGATTCTCAAATTACGTTCTTATGCGGAGTTCATCAATTTTCGTAGAAATACCACAATATTTTCAACCAAGTGATAACGCTTACATTTGGAATGTAGAATGCTTCCGGAGCACGGATTTGCCCCCAAATGCCCTGGTATGGCCGGGAGTGAAGTGGGCCCGCCCTCCCACTCGAAATGCTCTCACACGGCCACGCATATATAGCCTCTGCCAGGGAAGTCCTACTCACTGCCTTCTCGTGGCGAGGGTGTTGTTTACGAAATCGAGAGGACGAAAAGCGAATATACTGCTCTTTAACCGGATCCCAAACCAATGGGGCACATGGGCTCCATGATCCTGAGAGAACAAATAGCCTATGAACCAATTGTTGGTCAACGACTACCATGAGACTGCATCTCCTGACATTGCTCCACTACCTTGTGGATCAGACCTCTAGGTCAAAGGCTCCGGGCGTGCCCCCCCTAGGAAAGCCACCTGCTTTGGTCTGTAAACCCGGGCAATATCACAGCCCACACACAAATCAAGTGATTTGTTTGGCGCATATGTATTCGGTGCCCGTTTGTACCAATATTTATGTGTTCAAATAAGTAAGTTATGGTGTAACATGAGACTTAAATAGGCAGTCTCTAATTGCTGTCATGAATACATTAATTCGAAAACTTTAACAAAATAGGAACATAAATCTCCATCAAATGACCTTATAGAGAACAAATTTTATAAAGATTGCTAGGATCATTCTTACTAACTGAGAAGACTGTATTGACAAATTATCCTTCATACTAAATAATGCATAAAAGTTTTCAAAGGGACCAGCAAAAAAAAGATGCCACCCACAACACCGAACGGAAATTGACTATAATTCTGAAAAAGTGAGTCACTCATCAACGATGACCTCTTTGAACATTTAGTACCATCGGTCTTTCCTATCTCGTTACTGCATGGTCCCCTGAAGGTACATAAGGAAGATTTTCCCAATTTGTTCTATAATGGATAATTAATAACTCCCCATACTATGCAGTTGCCACATTTTTGGGGAAAATTCTACCGCCGGTCGGACACCGGATCTGTAAGCATAGTTCTTCAGTGTATCAGAGAAAAAAATGGTATCGATAGATGTCACTTTTCTGTCTACAAACTTCCCACTCACAGGAACGACTTGTTTCTTATGAGATTATATTGACTATGGCAAAGTCGATTTCGGTATCCCAAAACTTTTTCTAAGAGAACTACTTCTACTCTGCACTTTCAACGTGCAATTCAGATTTAAAGTTGATTTCTATAGAGAAATAAATGGTGTTGCGATCATTCCTCTCCTAGTAAACTTTAATGGCCAATCTAGAGAACATTAATCTTGGAGTAACAGTAGATACACTTTATGATTATTATTATTTCAGTGAAGATCTCAATTGTGTCCTGATAGAGAATACTAAAGAACATGAAACCTAGGTCTAGGGATTTTAAAAACCATCTGGAAATGAATAGAACTGTTTTTTCGCTATGCTTAAGTTATTTTCTAATCACGAACGATTGGAAGATTTTTTTACAAACCGGATCTATGAGAACTACATAAACTGGATGAGTAATACACAGTACTTTAACAATAATTCCCTTCTGTATGTAAGAAAAGTTTTGTAAGGAGGATGTATTGGCAAGACTTAATTACACTTAAGTTCATTCAGTCATATATTGATTAGCTTTAGAAATTATCAAATTGAAGAATTGTCACTTAAACACGAAATCACAGAGAATTGATGTAATTAAATATTTCGCTAAATTAAATCAAGTAAACAAAAATCCACAGTGGATTAATTGTAACAAACTAATTTTATACTGATCGAAAATTACGCTGATTTAATACGAAGGTCACCTTTGAAATTATCATAATCTTTCTTCTAAATTGTGTTTGAGAATTTACATCCTTAACGAAAATATTTCTAAGATTTGCAATTGTTTTTATTCAAAATTAGTACACTTACAAGCTTGTATGAAGAAATAATGCAAACAAATAATATTCATAGTACTAAGACAACATTCTCACAATTCAAATAACTAAATAAGAACTTTCGTCTAAATTTGACCGAGTAGTTTCACAGTATTTGAGCGCCCAGTTAATGTGGGAAATTAAAGAGAAAGAATGTATTTGTAAAATCTCAGCGAATGGATTTGAAGTAAATCCAACGTTTCTCCTGGTAATCTGGTCCAAGCTTTTTCAAGGAAATATAATCAAACATCAAAATTATCGAAAAAGCTTGGACCAGATTGCCAGGCGAAACGTTGGAATTAGTTCAAATTCATTCGCTGAGAATTTATAAATACATTCTTCCTCTTTAATTCAAATAACTTTTTAAAGAGGAGTTAAGATGAGATTTTAAAATGATACCGCTGGTTTGTTGACCTGACTAGAAGTATTTTGTTTTCAGTAACCTAGTAGTGTTTCTAACTTTTATAAAAAAAATTATGATAAGAAACTTCCCATATAAATACCGTACTTCATAATATTTCTTGGCATAGTGGAAGCTAAGAATCAAGTATTATAAACTATTTTTCTAAAATGAATATCTTGTTAATGTTTATGACATATAAAATTGGATTTATGTATATGGTGTGTATAGGGATTACACTCTTTAAGAATGATATATGAAAATGAAGAATTGATTCAAATACAGTTAAGGTGAACTAGTCAGTTTATTGCAAAGATTATTTTTAAAAAGTTTCAAACACTGATTTAATATATCGTAACCGATTGTTTATTAGATCATTTTAGCAATTGTCTAGTTCAAGTATAATGAAAAGAAGGTAGATGTTGCATGTGTTTTAATAATTCACTTTAAATACTGTTCACTATTCTTTTGTATTGAATGTCTCTTTTTTGTTATGTAATTCTTGTATGTGTGGCACTTCAGTGTAACTTTTCAATATATGTACTAAAATCCCGTCTTTTTTCATTGTTGTTGATTCAGAGTGAGGCTGATCGCGTACTTGTTTATCTCGTTCTATATATTTTGGAATGCTTAAGAAAATTACAAAGGGTATGTTTAAATTCGTCTTCTCTCTTAAAGTTACAGTAAACATTGATGAAGTCGTGTCCTCTGAGATTGATGGTTTAATTGTGAGACACAAACTGTCTTATCAGACAACATCATCGGTATAAACTTAAAAAGGAAATGCTTTAATAAAACTTCTTCACAGGTGACTACTAGATTGTTCTGTCAAAATTGAATCTGATTAGTTGTTGCCAACAATTATCATGGAAATTTCGTCACTAAATCGCCTAACTCAGAGAACGAGATTTCATCAAGACAATTTATCTAAGTTACATAACTTCTCAACTATCACTCAGTAGTGAATGTGTGAATTAATAATTATCGTAGACTCTGATGTTCTGATTGAATGCTATTGAGTTTAGTTTAGTGTTATTGAATAGACTTTTTCACTGTCAATTTATCTATTGAACACGAGATATGACTATCACAATCCAGTAATCTGTTAGATTATCGTACTTTTGGAATGTACACTTGTTGGATTTTCAAGTCATTAGGACCGCCAAGACTTACTGAGATACAGTTAACAAGGCTCAAGTTAAATCATGGTTAAATGACTTGGTTTTCAACCAATAGACTACAGGTTCAAATACTTAAATTTGAACAGTTATATAGTATCACCAGACCTCACATAAATAATGTTGCTCAAATCCGAGTACCTCAACTCATACTCTGTAAATACGTTACACTAAGATATAAAATTAACATTATGGACAAAACACAATTATTGAGTTCCATGGTTTGACCATACCAAGTATAATCACTAAGTGATTATAGTCAATATTTAGTCATACATACGAAATATTTCGGTTCAAAATTCTGTGATTAATTCCTATCTTAATTAATATTGTAATAAAAAGAATATTTATGCTAGACTACACAATAAAAATTCATTCAATTTCGTATTTTCTTGTAAACGTTTCATTATTCTATGTCAATTTCCTCTTCTACAATCTACATCATTCTTGTCCATTTTTAGTAGCTTTTTATTGTAGTATACGTATATGTATAATATTATATAGAAAATTCCATTATCAACATAAACTAGTAAATTATACGTCAACATCGCTGACAGACATAACTATAATGTTGATATAGATTGATTGTGATTCTAATTTAGAAAGAAATTATTGTTTATAGCATATTAGGAGATTCTTACCATAATTATAATTAGAACATTGAAGCTTTGCACATCTAGTGCAGTTGAACACCATCAACTAGCAAATAATAATAATCACAGTTGAATTCACGAGTCGATCTAAACTAGACCACCATTGAAAACCTGGAAGTACTGGACGGCCGTTTCGTCCTATTATGGGACTCCTCAGCAGTGATCATACACGATCTTGCATCCGGGATTCGAACCCAGGACCTTCGGTCTCGCACGCGGACTCTTAACCTGTAGACCACTGAGACGTCATCCAACGGTGTTAATGCCCCGAGTGCGGGATCGTGTGTGCACTTCTGAGGAGTCCCGTGCTAGGACGAAACGGTTGTCCAGTATTTCCAATGGTGGTCTAACTTAGATTGACTCATGAATTCAATTGTGAAAGTACTACAACTTCCACAAATCCCCAAAATTGATAGTAATAATCGTTAATTATGTATGTGTTATCTATCCTTGATATCTTTAAAAGAATATGGCTGAGGATGTTTGTGGACTGAACTTTAAGTATCAGATCTTTAAGAGTTGTTTATACTATCTTGATCGTTTACATGAAAGTCGATATTTTCAAGTGTTGATCTGTGATCTTTTAGGATATGAATCAACGAATCAACCATTCATTGTTTTATTCAAAATCTTTGAAATAAACATTTCACATATTCTTTCGGCGTTAAAATAAGCTCTTTTCATTTAGTCCTGACAGAGAACCTCCAATCATGTTTATATTTCATTCCCTTATCTTGCATATAAATTGCTTTTAAACGTAATTGAAATGATTAATTCTATACAGACTATAGTTTTAGTTATACTGTAGTGAACGAGAACACAGTGAGAACAATCGAATGTATTTGAACACAAAATTACAGAACATCTTACTAAGATCTAAGAACCATACATTAAATACTTGATTTGCAAACTGTCAATCAATTGTCTCAAACCCGACTGTTCCTTTTGCAAATATCGGTCAGTCGTCTCAGACTTCATTGTTCTTTCGTTTCCACACCAATCATTCTTCATCCTTGTTCTCTTTCCTTCGATCTTCTTAACCTTCCGCCGCTAGTATTTCACTTGCGATTGATGACATATACTACTTATAACTGTCGACATCAGTAGCACACACTTAAATACCCCTGTTTCATACTTTTCATATTCTAAGATACTTTCATGATAAATCTAAATTTTTGTTTTTACCAGTGTCCAAATAGAACTTCTGGAGCTAAAGAATTAGCTGCAATGGCCATAAGTCGTTTTGATATACCAGGTGATCCAGATTTTCCTCGAGAATTAAACAATATGTATGCTAAACCGAAAAATCCCACAGAAATGGAAACGATGCGCGGTTATTTATCTCAGTTAAGACAAGAGTTAGGTGTACGATTATTAGATAAAGTTTACCGTGATGATAATAGCCCACCTAGTAAGGTAAGAATATATTTATTTATAAGAGATTTTTATACATTACATAGTATTATGAATCGAACTTCGTTATCCCCAATTAATAGAATCATTAAATATTTGAGTTGACTAATGGTGATTTTGCTTTACGCCAATAATACTAATAGCCTTCGCTCAACTATTATGCCCACTAAGTGTGCTAAAGTTTATTGACCTATCCAAATTCTTTCTGTTCCTAACCTGTTCAATCAAAACACTGGAATGGTATACCCATTTACTTTCTGTTGTTACAACTCAATTACTAACATGATGATGTTATAAACCAATTACAAGACCACAAAGTATCATAAATAGAACATCACAATCTGAACATAATAGCTCGGTAATTTGTTTTACAAAGCTAAATAATAGATAATTTATAAATGGTAAGAGATATATCGACAATTAGGACATTAAAAATATCTTCAATAATTAATAAATGCATAATGAGAATAGTCAGTCAGTCAGCTACAACGTAGGACCAGGCACATATGTGCATCGGTCCAGGTTGCCATACCGCATCAGCACAACAAGATGAACACCGGATTCATAAAAGTAGCTAATTCAGAGGTGGTAATATATAAAAGAAAGATTGCATATAGAGATATAGTACAAGAAGAAAGAATTGGTTCGTAGAAAGAAAGATATGAAGCGATTTTAATCTCTTTGTTTAGGGGAAGACAGGGAGTGTATATACCGACGCCATTTTGATCGATTCTGAGTCACGTCACCAAGAGTCTCCAACCATTGGTTACGATAGTCACGCGGACCCCAACCAAGTAGTCTGCATCTACTAACATGGCTCAGACTACAAGTTAGTGACTTCAAGCACTGATGCCACGTTTTGGTTTGGCCGCCCCTAACTTTCTTCCAACCATCTCCAATACCGGATAGCATTGCACGTCGTGGTAATCGGTATTCAGGCATACGTAACACGTGGCCCAACCATCTCAGTCGATGAAGATTCACAACCTCATCAACTGATTTACCATCATTCCCTAATACCCTGCGTCTAACCTCACTATTACTTACCCGGTGATCCCAGCAGACGCCAGCAATATTTCTAAGGCATCTGTGGTCAAATACTAATAGCTTACGAGTGTCTTCTACTCTTAAAGGCCATGTTTCGCTGCCGTAAAGTAAAACAGAACGGACTGCCGCACAGTATACTCGTCCTTTTATTGATAGACGGATATCTCGCCTTCGCCATAGGTGACGCAAGTTGGCAAAAGCCAAACGAGCTTTTCGAATCCGTGCTGAGATTTCGTCAGACACCAACCCATTAGGGCTGATCAGACTTCCAAGATAAGTGAAGTTATCAACGCGTTCGACTACTTCACTCCCAATCCTTAGTTCAGGTGTTAACATGCATCGGTCCAGCTTGCCATACCTCATTAGCACAGCAAGATGGAATGATAAGAATATATATTTATTAATCCACTGCAGAATGATCTTCAATGATTCAGTTATTCCATCCGTATTTTTCGAACTGCTTTTGAATATTGATGTGTATTAAAACAAAAAAAAGATCATTTGTATTATTATTTCAACTAAGTTTAAAAAGAAATATCCAATCTGGAAATTATAGTTTGTCATTCTTATATATTTTCTCAGATTTTTTTTAGTATCTATGATTAATAACCTGATTAGATCAAGTATTACTACTCTAGTTATTTGATATACTTTTGAAGTTAACTCATGAAAGATGAGATGTTATTTCTGTCATCCACTGAAGTATCATTCATTTGTCAGTTTTTCCCATCATAAAAGATCGACTAAAACTAACTACTGTTTCCGATTTTTTTAAAATCCCTCTTATTGAATGAAATTAAATCTAATATGATTGTTCACTAAGCTAATAATTTGCAATTCCAATCTCAAAAAAAAAGATTATAATTAAAACTTCGATCCTGCTCTATTCTGTCGGCCTAATAAATAGAGAAAATCTCATGGTTGTACACTAGCTTTCTTTAAGTTAATTGGATTCTATACAGAGTAAATTCTGTGATTATTAATTACCGAATTTATCAAACCGAACAATCACTTGAATATGAAATCTCAGTGAACTAATCAATATAAATGAGAAATATCCTGAAAGTAAATTGTGGATGATGAAAATCACTTTGAAACAACATGGAAATTCTAAACTTGATTTACTCTTAAATTTATTGTATTTAAACATTTCCTATTTTCAATAAAATCTTACTTTCTTTTTCTAAAACTTTAAATAATTTTTAATAATAAATTTTCAGTAAGGGGTTATAGATTGATATCATGAATGGATCAATGTTAGACCAACATTGAAAACCTGGAAGGATTGGACGGCCGTTTCATCCTTTAACAAAATCTCAGCAGTGTGCATCCATGATCCCGCCCCGCGAGACTCGAATCTAGGACCGATCAATCTCACGCGCGCGAACGCTTAACCTCTAAACCACTCAGTCGGCGTGTCTAACTTCAAACGATCCACGAAATTGCGCCACCGTTCACTATAATCTATGTATAATATTTAATTCGACAGACTTTGGGAAGAGGAATTTCATACTAGGACTAGCTTCAATTGACTCATGAATTCAACTATTAAATCATTAAAATCTCCACAAAACCCCTCTCTGATTATTATACATTCAAAGCATAACAAAAAGTTGGATCGATTAGTAACTTAAATAAGTCGAGATTATTTATTTACTTATTTTATTTAAATGCATAAACATTGGACATTCGCTTTTCGTCCTCTCAATTTCGTAGACAGCACCCCCGCCACGAGAAGGCAGTGAGTAGGACTTCCCTGGCAGAGGCTGCATATGCGTGGCCGAGTGAGGGCGGGCCCACTCCACTCTCGGCCATACCAGGGCATTTGGGGGCAATAAGTTGAGATAATTTAGCTTATTAATGTAACTTATATTTCGTAATTATTCTTTGTAACAACGGGTAATCAAGTGATCCTAGAAAATGTGGATAATTATATTTATCTTGTAAACAATTGAAAAAATCATTTGTAAGGGTTACCTGAGTCTTTCATTTGTTGATGTCAAAACCTGCAACTGATCAGTCTTTTGTAATATGTAGATCCTGTGTCTGCTGTCTTGATATTCCCATTAACTTACAAGCATTTTAAGCAATCAACAAAATCCAACATATCCTCTGTTTATGAATGTGAATATTTGTTTTTGTTAAGAAATAGTAATACATATACCCTTCGTTGTAAGTGTAGTGAACGAAAACTCAGGTACGATAAACCAATTTATTGTTTTACGCAAAATCACTCAGTGGCTATGTAAAATATGAAAGTCATACATTAAATACATCATTTGCATATCTTCCTTGAGTTGTCCTTTATATACCCCATCATTCTTTCAATTCTGTTGTTCTTCCGATTGCTCTTTAATTTCCTTTCTCTTCTCTATTTCAATCTTCTGCTAGCAGCCATTCTACTTCCAATTGGTGCCACATACTACTTATATCTGTCTACAGAATTAGCATACGCCACACATATATTATTCGTCTATGAAAGGGTCATTGAGATGGAAAATCACTGGGATCTCCTATATAGCAGGTAGCTAAAATCAAAAATGTAAACCGATGCATTTTAACCTTGGACCACTTGATTGCAATGGCATAAAAGGTCAACGCATTCAGTCCAAGCTATCAAAATACAAAATTGCACACTAGATGTTAATCGGCAATATAAAAATGTATTAGATCAGGGATGAATAGCAGGGATTAACATATTCATTATGTGAGATAATATATTTTTAATGTAACTCGTTTGAATAGGGTATGTTGATATTATTCGATCTTAGCCTATACTGTGTGAGAGAGCCAGTCATACTGCTAAGCTGACCAAATGGAAGTGAATTGGAGTTCAAACCGAGGACCGACTAGCTAAAAACCAAGTTCTTTAAACGAATAAGCCATAACCTCATACTTAGACTAGACAAGGGTATTGTATTGTCAGTTATTATGTTAAGCCCACATACCCTATTCTAGCTACTGGACAGGCCAATCTATTAATTTTACTTGAGTCACATTTTGACCTTTTTAATTATTCGCTTATCAATCTTGACTGTTTTTATGTAAGCGTATGCGTGTACACTTCTTATCCCATTCATCACATGTATGTAGCTTATTTTTGTGACCATAAATATTGATTAACGCTTGGTTAAATTGAGTTGGCCCACATGCCTTCTCCACTGCGCGTCATTTCGCTTCGTTCCCCAATATTTTGTCGGGATCAAAGATTGTATGAAATATACGTAACGAAATTCATTCTCGCATCTGACTTATTTAATTCCGTTATTGACTAACGCAATTTAAGTCGATAAATATATACGAGGATTAACGATATATTTATCTCAATAGCAATCAGAAACGACCAAACTGGAGTCAGATCACGGGCCACTAAAGTACTGATCAATGTGACTCATTTCAAGTCATGCCGTGTAAAGTCTTTTAATTTTATATCCTTCAAGTGATTTTTGGTTAAGTCTATTGAAGTAACCTGTAGAATGCTAACTCAGCGATTGGTAATACTTCTGTAGTCAGTGCTATTCCGACGAGTTGATCTTATCTTTCTAATTGTTTATTATCATTTTTATTACAGTGGTGGTTGTGCTTTGGCAAGCGTCGTTTCATGGATCAATCTTTAACACCATTGGGAGTTTTCTAAGAAAAGCGTGTTTTTTACATATACTCTGAGTATTTTATCGTTGTTTGTTTCTCTTCTATAACAGTAACTTTCAATTTTTCTAATCTAATATTTTTTATTGTTTACTTGAATAAACAGATTGTCAAATAAATTTTCACTTATAATGATGATTATAGTATACCAATAGCGTTCACGGCACGTATTGTGAATTTTCTCATATCACTTAAGTTCTAAGGTTTTGATTGTTAATACTTGATCGCAAGGGTCAATAAATACGTTAGCGACAACTTCGTAATATTATGTCATAATTAGCAAAACTTATGTATTTAATGAATTTTTTGTGACTACTGTGTAATATTGTACTCGGAAATTCGTGTTAACTTAATTGTCATTCTAAGGTTGGTTCAACATCAGACAATGCATATCAACATACACTAAGTTTAAAAATCGTTCCCTGAGACATAGTTCTATTGTATTTGCACACTGATTTTATTTAATCCTTAGGAATATTATTAGGTTTATGGGATTAGAAAAGGTTTGATAAAAATATTCAAGAGCATAAATAAAGTCATATGTTGCTTACTAGTAAGACAATGCTTATGGTCATATGGGCGTTCACCAGGTAGCCTGCTTTTCTCCTATCCTTCGTGTTATATCGGCGTGCTTACTTTGAGATTCGCTTAGCTCTATGCTTTAGTCAAACATTCAATGCACTGTAGTGAATTTTCCCCGACATGCTAGTTTAGAATCAGTTTTAGTAACATAACTTCTTGGATATCACTTCGATCCGTAATACATAAATGGACGGATTGTAATCTGATTACCAAAGTCCCGTTGTTCATTTATTTTTTAATTGCACACACATATGTCTCGTGTCGGTCTGCAAGTCAGTGTATCTTCCTTGTGAATCATGTCTGGTCGTGGCAAAGGTGGTAAGGGTTTGGGCAAAGGAAGAGCCAAGAGACATCGTAAAGTGTTACGCGACAACATCCCGTTGTTCGTGGTGTGTTTAAGAATCGCAATATTTAAACGATGCCAAACCTTATTTTTATCAATTACTTATTCGCTGTCCTGCGTGGTAGTACTGACAAGTAGTGAGACTCGGTAATGCAACTGACCAATCGGGTGCAGACTCGAGGATTTACGCTGCGACAACACTTCATCTTTGAAGATTGGTGGCACTATCCGCCTACTCAGGACGAGGTACAAGACTTGAACCTAGGGGCCAGTTGTTGGAAACTGGGAACACCGACCATTACTCCACCGTGTGGCGGTGCACATCCTTTCTTCATGGAGTGCATGTTTACCACTTTCACCCAGTGACTATGGAATCACACATTTAGGCACCATCGTAAGTAATCCGGTAGCACGTTACCGTATAAACCGAAGTCACACCCAGCGAAATATCAGACTAATCACTAAACTTGGACGCAAATGACAGGTCAAATACTTAACCTTTGAAGTGGAAGCCATGCGCCTACTGCATAACTTCTCAGTCGAAGCTTGGAGTGAATATCACAAGGCGTCGTTCATTGGTTTAACACGCACTGTGACCTACCATACACTACCTACGGCAGATTGCTTACGAATGCATTCTGAGCTGGTGTCAACAAAAAGTTCCTAGACCACTTTCTTCGGATACGCAGCCGAGACTACCTTATAGTACACCCAAACCTACATCCTCATGTCACAGAGCCACGTCATAAGGCAATAGGAATTCAAACAGATCTTCAAACTTCAGTCCGCAAAGTGGGGACAAACAAGAACGCCGCCTCCACGTCAGTAATAAGTTCCCTCCTACTTCTGGTCGATGACTAGCTAGGAATACTGAGTTCGCCGCTTCTCTTATTCTCAGGCGACGTGAGAGTTTGGAGAGCCAAGGTTAGCGACGTCGACTAGCCCGGCGCACCGGAACAATGGATGCACAGAGACCCGGGCTTCCATCCAAAACTTGAAAATAACTGCCGACCGAGGAACCAGAGGCTTCCAGTCGTCATACGCTTCGGACCATACATGCCACGCTCAGAAGTCGGGCGCCACCTCGCCAGGGACACTGACAACCTGCTCGCCTGACAAACCCGAGCTTGCGACACACCTTAACTGTACCCTATGACGATCGACTTGGATACTCGAACCATTAGCCAAAAGGTGATCTCGCTAGGTGTACCCTATCCCAAATAATGATCCGAGTGTCAACACACCCCACCATTTTGCCCATTCGGGTTTATCATTTCCCAAGATCACCGCAGGAAGCTTTCATTAACGTATGCTAAAGAAAAACTAACCCAGACACAATACAAGAGCCTATTCGTCGAACGCCTTTAGAAGTAAACTAGGTTTTTAGTGAGAGGTACCACAAAAATGGGAACAAATTAGGCGACTTGATGTTTATATAACCAGGAACGTTCTAGATTGGGCATGACGTTAATTTAGTGACTTCAGGAAGCTAGGATTAGAAATATGAAAAACAGAACCAGGTAACTGCACATTACGCATATTGGATGTGTACATAAACATTTATTAAAAATGCAAAGTGAATGAACTGGTTGAATCCGATGAATGTACATTAATATGAACCGGAACGAGATCGTGATAAAGAACCACGCCTATGTGCAGGACTTCTGGAGACAGCACGGTTGTCTCTGCGATCATTGCGCCGACTGCCTTTGCGTACTTCATCACCATTATCCATGCCGTCGTGACTTGCCGACCGCGACCTGGTGGGAGACCTCGATCTTGATGCTGACCGATTGGGGCGCACGTTATTCATTCGCCTTCGTGAATCATCTCGGCGGTCGTTAGGGCGACTGCGATAGTATGGTTCGACCCCTTTTTGTCGAGAATTGGAGTAAGATCTAGATACAGTAAGTAACAAACAGAAGATACTCACCTGGAACGGGATCTAGAGCGATATTTCCTCCCACCTCGATGAGGCTCGTCTCTCCTTTCTTTTAGACGCATCTCCGCAGGAGCTGTTAAGTGAAAGTCGAGAGAAAGCACGTTAGTTAAGATACCAATACACAACAGGCTATAAGCAACTCCCTAGCTTTGCATAGTTAGTTGTACTAGTCGCACTCCCTTTGCAGTCTATGTAAGATGTTTCAAATATCCTTAATAGTTATTTGGCTTTACAAGTCGAAAATCAATTACATAAATACATAAGACAAGGAACTCAGAAACTAAAGTATCCTTACTTTTACGATAACCTCGGGTAAACTCGACTTCGATATCGCGACCCATGAACCGTGTGTGGTCCATGTAGTAATGGGCATCTTCAGCGTCTCTAGGATTCTCGAACGTTAGGGGTTAGTTAAGGACACAAAAAAGCATTTATCAACCAAAATACTCACCAAAAAGTGTCTTGAGACAGGATCCTATGTCATTGTACCTGGATTGATTGGGGGACTGCCCTGATTTTGTCAACTTAGATTTGTTAGCAAACTAATACAATTGGACTAGCTTGGCAGCTGCAATCGGTGACCAACTGATCCCGACAAATTGAGTTTGTGTGAAACTTTGTAATTTAACCAACTTGGAATTTTAATTGGATTGAGATTGTATACATGTGTTTTGACCACTGAGTACTTTGTAAGTATGCGAGCTGCCATATCCCTTGTTCAACTAGACTGATTGTTTATTTAGTGACGAACAGAGTCTATGATTATTGGTTGATTGTTTGAAACTGACTGGCAACTGAGCCGATCAATTGGGATCTATTGGTTATTTTGGCTTGAGTTTAGTCGTGCCTGTGAGACGAATACGGCAAACATTGAGATTAAGTGAATTGACGCGAGGGAAATGCAAAATGAAATATTACACTGCAAAAGGATATTCAATAAATGCGTAACCCTTCATTCTTCCAGTGAAGAAATCGAGGGGTATTGTTACGTCAACAATCCTGCCATAACGGCCAAAGCAGCGTCTTAAGTCGTCATGTCTAAAAGAGATAAGATTAATGTGGATGGACTACAAACCTGCACGTATCAGGGAGATGGCGAATATACAAAGAAGAACTGCGTCGAGGCATCCTGCGACTAAGGCAACACAACTCCTCCTATGGCAGTAATGATTTAAACAACTAACAGTTGTTCAATAAATATTTTGTGAACATTACAAATATTCCAACTTTCTCCCTAAAGAGATATAAGGCCGAAAACCTGTATTAGCTTATCCTCAGTATAATTTTATGCGCATTCAGTGTGCTCTTGAGTGGATTCAGTTGTTATGTCGTTGTAGTGAACTCTTATTAGGCCTGTAAGTCTTCAGTCTTCAGTAATAAGGATAGGAGGTCTGTCGACCTATATTAATCTTTGCAGTTTGTAATACTGTGGAGGTCCAATCTCGTTTTGAATATATTAACAGATGGTGCTGATATTACGTGTTCCGGTAGAGAATTCCAGTAATTCACTACTCGGTGCGAGAAACGGAACTCCAGACGTAAACGGTTTGATCTCGGTTTTTGAACTTTCTTCGAATGTCCTCTCAAATGATCGGTTCTAGACGGAAGCAAAAGATAAGACATGTTAATACCAAGGTCATCGTTCAGTATACGATAGGCCAATATTAGATCACCCCGTATTCTACGGTAAGATAACGGAAATAAGTTAAGGTGTCTCAGTCTGTCTTCATAAGATAGGCCAGATAGACCTTGTACCATCTTAGTAGCTCGTCGTTGGACTCTTTCTAGCATATCTGCTTCATATTTGAAACAAGGACACGCTGCTTGAATCCCGTATTCTAAATGTGGTCGCACATAAATCGGGTATAGTAATCTAAACATTTCATCATCTAAATACTGGAAAGACCTACGAATTGACCATAATACCCTATAGCCTTTTGCAGCAGCAGCCTTACAGTGACTAGTCGTTTTGAGATCATTGCTTAATATGACTCCTAAATCTTTATAGTTTCTTGCTTTGGGTAGCACGAATCCACGTAGTGTATAGTCATACGATTCATCAGAGTTATTTAACTGCATCACTACACTCTTATTAGGATTTACTTCTAGTGACCACCTGTCT